CCAACCTCCATCAGTTTCTCAGAAGAGGCCATCACCAGTTTTGCAAACTTTGAAAAGAAATATTTCTCCACAATCTTATTTTTCTATTATCTCATTAAGCTGGTATATTCATAAAAGAACTCATCATCCCCAATGGCATGGAAAGCATTGGTGATGTCAGACAGCAGAAATGTGCTTGATGAACTTTCTGCACTTATCAGTCTAGACTGATTCTAACTCAGTTAAACAGAATGGATTTTAATTATCCAACAGACTCTAGCAAGATTATGCCAAGAAAATTAATGGATAGCCCAGAAAATCCTGGTAAAAAATTTTTGTAATTTCTGCTCTGCTGCAGATGGATAATGCAGGATACTCGATTTGTAGGATCAGTCTTGTTTAGAAATGGAGACTACAAATGAACAAATTACTACAGACTTGTTACGTGAACACGTTCAGTGGGCAAACATGGTGTAACAAACTGTGCTCATACAGAGTCTCTAGAACTGCTATAATTTTTACTCCTAAGACAGATGTGCAGACCTGCATCAGTTGTGATGCAAATGTATTTTTGTTGTGATGAAGAAAGAGCTATTATATTTTTAAATTATACTTAGTATCACTTTCTTTGTGCAAATACAGTAAATTCCTTTTACACTTGTAACAATACTCTAGACTAAAATGGTGCTATTTTACAGAGAAACCTGATAGGTAGTCTAGTTCTTTGGTCCTTCAAGGACCTATGCTGAAGAGTTTCATTTTACCCTTCCTCCAAGCACTTGCCTCTATTTTTTTCTTTATTCTCAGGATCCACACTATTGTTAATGAGCCAACAGCATATGAAGAAATGGGTCTTCTATGGGAAGAAGGTGTGAATGGCAAGAAATTGTGTTGAAAGAAAGATGCAATGCACAGTGATAAAGCAAAAACTCAACAAAGCTACTGAATTTGGAGATATTTAATGCCTTAAAGTTTTTTGACAAAGACATGAAAGTGTAGATTTACACTAAAACAAGAAAACACAGAAAAATAAAAAAGCAAAAAACAAACAAAAAAAACACCACCAAACCAAACCAAAGAACAGAACAAAACAAAACAAAGAAAAACAAAAACAAACAAAAAAAAAAAGAGCAAAAGGAAAATAAACTAAAAATTCCCGGGAAAGTCTAATAAAGACAATAATTTACAAGTTACTTCAGAAAAGTCCATAACTCGGTATTTTTTACTGATTATAAGGTAAGCATATGCAGAAGTTCATTAAGAGAAGTATTAAATTAAAATCTTGCTGTTTTACTGCTCCCTTGTTTATGTTTTACAGGTTATGATATAATTTTCAGCTTTAGATACCTTTTAAAGAAATACTGATTATTGCTGTTATTCTTAAACCACACCAAACAAAACAATTACTCTGTTATTTCAATGCAAAAAAGTGAATATTACGTGCTGCAGCTTCAAGTGATATAAATAAGCAATTTGACAGATGTGTTCAAAACTATTAATTCTTGTAAGACTTCTAAGTAGGGTGATCTCAGACTGTCCAAACTAGTGATGGAATTTAAAGTATCAGCAACAGAAGTGGAAAAAAAGACAGGTAAGCAAAACAAATTTATCTAAAACCATTCTATTAAAGGAGTAGCAGGGATATGGAACATATGGAAACTGTTTAGTAAGACAGCTGATTAAGATAGCATAAGTAAGCTTAAGAGACAGCCAGATATTCTTATGCAGAAAGTGGCTTGGATGTCACAGCAAGAGAGTATAAGGCTGAGATAACTAAAGTGGGACAGGCTTATTGTAACACAAGACTTACTATCATGTAATTTTTCCAGTTTTTTTGTTTTGGTTTGTTTTTTTTTTTTTTAATTTTGTTTTGTTTTGTTTTTTGTGTTTTTTTGTTTTATTTTGTTTGTTTGGTTTGGTTTTTTCTTGTTTTTTTTTCTCCTTTTTTTTTTCTGTTTTCTTTCCATTAAGGCCATTCTATAAGCATTTCACTAATTATTAAATTAATTAATTTTCATTGTCTTTCTCATTTGTGAAAATGTTTAAAATTATTACCTGACAAAACTTGCTATCTGGGTATATTTTCCTTGAAATAAGCTATTTTCATCATTCACTGTTTTCATTAATTTAATAAAAATCACAATGTAAGCTTGATTACTTCCCATCTCATGCTGAAATCAGAAGACGCTTTGTCTACAATTTTTTTTTTTTTTTTTGTCAAATTTCCTACTTCTCTGCTACTGAGAATTGCTGTAATGCTACCAACACTTTTTATCTCAGTATGGCCTTTTCATTTTCAACTACCTGGGCTAGAGTTGCTCAAAACTGTAGTCAAACTACTGGTACAACTACAGTTCTTATTACTGTCTTGGGCAGAATTGGCCACATGACAATAGTGTTTGGAATTACGTGAAGGATATGCCAAACTTAAATTTAACTTATTTTTAAACTTGTTTTTAAATTAAGATCTTCACATCAGGATCCTGATTTCACAGTTAATCCAGATAATTTTTCAATAATTTCATAAGATTTAATTATTATTGTTTATTTAATAGCAGAAGTTAAGTATTTTAAATAACTTTTAAAAAGAATAATCAAGCCTAGAACTTGGCTACAAAATAATGAATTCTTATCCCTGCATACAATTCAGAATGATGAGAGAACCACAGCTTCTGATATTGCCCCAGGCATTGCTGGAGACAATTGTTTCTAGCAAACCTTCCATCTCCTTTTCCCAGAAAACAATTTTTCTCTAAAGAAAAATTCAATTCGTTTTTCTATCCTAATCACATATATCATATTTCTTACCCTCCTTCAACTTGGTTTATGACTCAAGAAAGCAATTTTATTTATCTTCTTTCAAAAGAGAAATATTACATTGGGCTAAGAACCCTAATCATACTAAGCTCAATGACAAGTAATCGTTGATTTCATTGGGAACACCACATAGCATCACATTTGTTACTGCAATGACCTGAAATCCCATAAGGTGCTCAATGCAGGTTCAGTTTTCATAATATGACAATGATTTTATTATAGTACACTAGAGACAGAAGAGTTCATTCAAGCAAACAAATTTATATCATTACTATTTGTAATTATATCTAGGGGGAACAAAAATATTTAAAAGGAAAAAAAAGGAAAAAATAGTTTCTCTCTCTATCCCCATTATTTTATTTTCCTCAATAAAGAAATTCACATAAACAGGCACTGCTAGTAGTTCAGTGGCTGACAATACTTAACGTCCACAATTCAATATATGTTTAATAAGAACATGAGGAATTAATCTGAGCGATTGGAATACATTTTCTTGATGAATGGGGCAGCTCACCTAGGTATAATGACAAGCGTAAACCTGCATATAACTCTTTGCATTATGATGTAAATAAGCAATGAGAATGGTTGATTTAATTTACTTACTAGATTGCATATATTTTGATCAGAATTGGATTTGGTGCTGCTGGACAAACTGGAGTGTGATGAACACTAGCCATACAGTTCTTTTCTAAAAAAGTACTCTTTCACACGGTCATTTTTAATCTGAGATAGTTTCCCAGTGAAACTTTAAAAATTTTAAAGCTCTTTCATGGCTATACTTGATAGATGGAAATCCAGAATTTTTGTTTATGTGTTACACAAAGCTGAAAGAATAAGACACATGCTCAAATAGCTTCTTCTTAAAAAAATAATCCTGCACTGCATCTTTATACAGATCAATGTCCAATTATAACCAGAGAGTTGCTGTGGCAAAAGGTCAGGAAAAAATAATCTTTCCGGCATTTATTACTTGGAAAATAAGGTCACATATGAGGTCAACCTCCAAATGTATACAGAATAAATTATACTGCAGCATTCTAAATATTCTGCACTGCAAAAATTATACTGCAATCTCAACATAATCAGAAAAATGAAGTTGAACGCGCATTTTCTGATGACTGTACTACAGATCAGACTAAGCTAAGAGGCAAAAAACCCAGGTCAAATTAATCAACAATTAATAAAAACCTTATATTTTTGCTTAATTAGAAATATAGTTTCTTATTAAGACTGACTAATTTAATAATTTTCTAACTGTCTTTAACACTGAAACACCCTCCCCACAGCAAAGGAAAATAATGGGAAACATACAAAACATTTAAAAATCATTCAGTGATGCACTTTTTTATTGCTGACAGCGTAGAAGCAAAACATAAAGGCAGAGAATGCTGGTGTGCTTTGTCTGTCTGATTCTCTAAAAAAAAAGTGTATCTTTTGAAACAAAAGACCTCCTAATTAGATAAAACACATCTGGAAAAAATGAATTGGACACAGTTTGAGAAAATAAATATGCTTGTTTGTCAAAATAAATGTTGGCAGAGAACATTGTCATTGTCCTGATCTAAGTAATTTTCGTTGTTTCACAGTCTCAATCTTTGCCACCTCTCGGGATATGAATGAAAGTATACTGAAAATAAGATTGCATTAGTATTTGACATTAATCACAGTACCCTTAATTGTGAAATCAACATTACAAACAGGAAAATGCATCCATGAAATGAAAACATCTTCTGATTCATTTTTACTCTTGTCTTTTATGCGAAGCATTTTCTTTTCCTCTTCACCAAAGTACATGAGGAATGTAAATGACTGGTCTTCTTTTATCTGTTGCAGTCATGTCTAGTTTGAATTTCCAAATCACGCTTTGACAGAAGGATTGCATATAATATATCATAGGCAATGCCAGTGGAGATAGAGTACATTCTAATCATTTTCAAAAGTACTAACTTTTTTTTCCTTTTCTTTTTTTCTTTTTTTTTTTTTTTTAATCTGCTTTGGACACTTGTGGTTTCATTTCATGTTCTTCATGTTCGTTCTAAAAGATAATGTGTTCTTTGCTCTAGGCTAGAGACAAAAATTACTGTTTTCTCTGATAATATTATCAGTGGGCTATTCCTCCCTGATAACCCACAACTGCAATACTAATAAGTTGATAATGACGTGTTAAACTTTACGCTTTTGTAGGCATTGTAGGCTTCACTCACCTTGTTCAAGTGGCTGGCTTTTAGTTGAAGTAGTTTTCATCTTGAGTGCCTCCCTTACAGACATGTCACAGCAGGAGCCTTTGTTAGTGTCTTGGTCACTGTCAGCCTGATCACTGTCCCCATGCCCGCTGTCCCTCAAGCTGGCTCTTTCTGGATCCTTGAACGTGGAGCTACTGAAATACATA